TTTAATTCAGCAGGCACTTCAGCTGAAATATATCTGTTCCTCAACCAACAAGGAAAGATCTTGAAATTATTGTATAATTATTGGAGTCCAAAACAGTATTAAAGTTCAAAAGTCTATCAAACTATATAAAGTAGGAGCAGAGCGAGCTCGGAACACTACAACATCAGAGGTGGGATCAGGTGCCATTGAGGAGTAAGCACCCCCTGCTGACCGGTCACACCCGCGGTGTGCTCCTTGTCATGATCGAGAAAAATACGTCGACGATTCAATTGATATATAATGGCCAAACAATTAGTATGAAAAGCACCAGTCAGCATTTGAAGTAATGATAGATTGTATGTGCTGACAAGGTCATTGTATCGACCATAGAATTTGCGAAATGATGACATTAAACGAGACTGCTGATAATCTTGTTTCAGCAACTTGTTTCTCCAAAACTACCCCGTTTTAAAAATTGTTAGTAAATAAAGAACGTTCTTCCGTATTGAATCAACTGAGATATATAAGCCCCGCATGCAAGTGAAGGTATGTTGCTATGTAAGTAAGTGAAGTTGACGATTAAAAAGTTAAAGTCATCTCGTTTGTCGAAAGCTTGGTTTGTTAGACTATCATTAACGTGTTTTCAAGTAAAATACTTAAACATGATACAAATGTTAACAATTATGTAACAAATGAAGTGAAGAAAAGAATTATCAAACAGAACAATTATAAAATATTTGATAATTGAGAATAAATATATAAATAGACGCAATTTTCTCCGATTGCAAATTAAACAGTAAAGTGTTTTTACCTTAAAATAACTTTGCTGATCAATATGCCGTTTTAAAATGCATAGATGATGCCTTCATTTGCGTTTCCTGAAAATATACTTTAGATCTGGAAAATTTCAGTAGTATGAAGTCTAAAGAAATGCCCATCATAAATAAACATTAGTTTGTTAATTCAGAGAAATTTTGTGTGCACTTTTTATTCCTTAACACCCATTTTTTTCAGAATTACTTCAGGCTACTTAAAAAAATATACTAGAAGACGTAATCTGTATAATTTAGTTCTTATGAACTTATTATTTGGCTTCATAGCAGTTAAAAGCATCTTGAATTTCTAATGATGATACAGCTTCCTGAGATGTCCAATTCATTTTTTTAGTGTGTCCCTTGAAGATTGGTTGTTTCTTTGATTCTTTAATGTGAGAATTGTTGGGACGACAACTTTCAACATTTAACCTGTGAAGGACTTCAAACTTCCTTTCATTGAGCATTGGCAGAACTTTATGTGCCTGCATCTAATGTAACACTGGATATCAGTTTTTTCGATTTTATTCGAAGGACAGGTCTCAACGTTCTGGGACTTTAAAATGCGACTTAGAATTTACTCCTTACTTCAAGACTCTAAACGAAATTGCTCTGAAACCACTGTACAAATCGAGAACCTTGAGAAAGTGCATGTATAAGCACTGGAAGAAGATAATACAATGAAAAATATACTCGGATGTCCGATCGTTTTGTATCCAAGAATATTTTCTTTTTTTAATTTTGATTTCAGTAAATTTACATGCACTGGCATGATATATTTCACAAGTTCAATTAATTAAATAATAATTATAAATCAATTTACTTTAAATTTTGCCTTTAAACGACGTTGGTATGATATCCTGTTCAAAAATTGATTCCCTATTTTATTTATAAAGGTATTATTCCCTTGAATTTCAGAATGCTTTTTTAGCCGGGCTTTGCTGAAATCAAAGTCCTGGCTATAGGCATCATGATCGACTGTCTTACTATGAATAGCACTGTAAACAAAAAACCAAACAGCGTCAAAGCAGACGCTTTCGATAAACAAAATAGTCCCATTGCCAGACGATATTCTAACAAATATTTTTAACATCCCAATCGTTAGAAAAGTTAATGATCAATACTTTTGCTTGAGAATTAAACTGAAAAGGAAATTAGATATTTGCTTTATTGAAAAAATAATCTTGATATAACAATTTGTGCACATACACTGCTGAATGCATACTATAAGTGAACTATTTTCAATGTCGCGGGCTTTTCGAAAATCGTTTTCGTCGATGTTGTGTTAGTGGTTATATTCTGTTTTGATTTTTAGCAAATTAATAGTATAGTGAATTGGAATTTTAAGAATGAACATGTGTGAAGTCGCTTGACAATGTACATGTATCATTGTTTCTACATCTAGTTGGCGATAAAAGTACGGTTTGTTTGAAACTAAAAGAATGTTTATAAAATACACATGTGCATTATTTTATGTATTCCAAGACTGAATTTTTAAATTATGAGAAAAAATGCTTATTGAATAGAAAATATGCTAGAATTTCTTGGAAATATTATTTATTAAATCATAAAATCATAACATATCATGGGGTCTGGACTGTTAATTTTAATTACTGGTATATGAGATATTGTTTTAAATCATAATCATACAAACTCTACCTGTTAAAAATCAGAGGTCAAAAGGAAAAAAATTAAATTTGTACTAATTTCGGATCAGACATTATACTAATGTACTCGAGCAATTAAATCCCGGCTTTCAGTTCTTTCAATTCTTTGTATAAAGTTGTTGTCAGACAAAAAATATTTACCTACCGGTAACTACCTAGCTAACTTGAGATTTTAGGATCGGATTAGGAGGAACAGATATTTTTAATGATGGTCTTACTTTATCTTTTATTTGCGTATGTTTATAAATGTTATCATTATCGGTGCTTAAATTTGAATAAGGGAAATAAAAAAAAATATATCTTGATTTGATGGCTTTGTCTACGAAAAAAATGCTAACAGCTGAAGTCATCATCAATCAGCTTTCACCATGGAAAAATATTTTATTGGAAAAGTTTAAGGTCATACGCAACGTAGTTTGAACTCTGTTGGGCTCTTCCCTGTAGTTGAAGAGTTTCACTAAAAGAAGGAACTGTGCAATACTTTTAATGTCTATGTAAGGGTTTGTACACCTCTTCTAAAACAAATTTTGATAGAAAGAAATCTGGAATTTATATTTTGTAATTTTTGTAAAATTTGAAAAACATTTTCTTTGAGTAATGCAAAATTGTTCATATTTGATATCTGTTCAAAACCCATGGTAACGCATGTTGAATTTTTTGGGTGGAGTTATCATGTTGTAAATTTTGCATTTACCTCCCCCTAGTAAATTCAAAATTTACAACATGATAACTAATTGAATTTGCTCTCAATATTAACTCTCTCTCTCTCTCTCTCTCTCTCTCTCTCTCTCTCTCTCTCTCTCTCTCTCTCTCTCTCTCTTTTCATATCTGTATTATATATTATAAATTATGTTAATCAAGCAAAGGGCTTTAACAAAAACCTTTTGCTACTTGAGAAGAATCATCTGAAAACAAAGAACATTTTCTAAAATTTGGAGTTTTTTTAGTTGAGTACTTTGAAGCAAAACAAAATAAATGAATTTCAAATCTAAATTTAGAAAATTCAATTATTTAAATTAAAGAAATTTTTTACAAATAAATGTCTCATGTTGGCCAAATGCTTTAAGAATTTCTCTTATCTTTTAAGTTAACTATACATTTGAAAGATTCAAAAAAATAAAGGCTGATTATATTAATTAGTAAAATGGAAAATTTGGAGTTTTTTTTTTATACTTTGAAGCAAAACAAAATAAATGAATGAATGAATTATTTAAATAAAGAAATAATAAATGTCTCTACTCTTGTTTATCAATACATTTGAATTCAATAAAGGTGATTATTGTAGTTCTATGCACACATATTTTTATGGATTCATCCATAAAAATAGAAAGATTTTATTTTTTGCAAAGTTTCAAAACAAAAATTATGCAATTAAAATCCTTATTAAGAGATTGAAACAATTATTTTTGTCTTCAAACTGAAATTTTTACGACCCAATTGGAAAAAAACTAGAAGCTTAACTCAATCTTTGCATTGAAATTCTAAAATCTGAAACAAATAAAATAAGTAAAAATACATACTTTTTAGATATCAATATTAAAATATAATCTGACAAATAGCAAAATATCAAATGACGTGGTTACTGGAGAAGTATGCAATTTGAGGCTGAAGTACCTGCGTAATTGTGTACGAAGCTTTCGATTCGAGAAAATTCCAAAATGCGTGCAAGCTTATGTACAGTAAACTCTGTAGGGAATGCTACTTAAAGGACAAAATATACTCATAAAATATATGTTATACAATTTTGTTCAAAACATTCTGCATGCTTTATCATTGCATGTAGATGAAATGCATATCTATCATTTAATTTTTCTAGACATCCAACTATATTTATTTTTTTAGGTGTTTCCCCTCACGAGTTGATGGGTTAAAAGACGAAAAACTGCATTTATAATCACTATATATAGTTTAAATTAAAAAAAATTTCTGTAAGAACATTCCTAATTGTTTAATATGCTACCTTCTGAAATCCAGATAGTAGAATTTTATGTTTGTATATTTAATATTCACTCAAGAACAGTTTGAGCAAATATTCAATTGTAGTATTTTCATAAATTATTTTAAGGTCATACGCAACGTAGTTTGAACTTTATTGGGTTCTTCCCTGGAGCTGAAGAATTCCACTAAAGGAAGGACCTGTGTGCAATACTTTTATTGTCTATATTTAGGTGTGAACACCTATTCTAAAATCTTCTAGATTTTCCTGACACCCTTCATTTACTGTAAGGTTAGAAATATTTACAATGGTCTTAAACTTTGTAGTTTTACGCGCCAAAACAAAACTCTCTCTCTCTCTCTCTCTCTCTCTCTCTCTCTCTCTCTCTCTCTCTCTGAATGTTTGTGTGTGTGTGTGGAAGCAGGCTTTCTCATCAAATTTCTTTCTTTTATTTTAAATATCAAATAAATTAAACAAATAGAATAAAGATTTTTGAAGTTGCACAGAGCAACGATATGGATTTGTTATGTTTTTTACTTTATTAGTTCAAAGCAAAACAACACGTGAAATAACATCTTTGAATTAATTTTTTAACTCTTTACCTACCTTTGAATGAAATTAGTTTCCTGTAGACATATATTGGAGATTAGCTCGTATGAAAGGTTTTCTACCAGAATTCCGTCCTTCAGACGCCAATCATCGCCTACTAATTGAATGAAATAAAACAAACAAACCCATATTATAGTTAACTAATTAAAATAAAGATGTCCAATGTATTGCATTACTGCCTACAAAGCACCATTAGTTTTACTTTCCTGTATTTCCTATTACTTGTCTTGTAATCAGACTAAAAGCCTTTAGAACAAAATAAATTACCTGGAATGGACGGCTTCTAAACCCCTCGTATCTACTTCTTGTATTTAGAGTCACTTGCCTTTATATATATCCTTCTTGTGTTTAAGTCCATCGATACTTATGATTAATAATCGATTCGTAAACAATAGCACGAAGACCTCTCTAAGGAAAAAAGAGGACAAGATATAACAGGTTTTTTGACTTGTCATTACAGAACATTTAGCTATATCAATATCCAAATAGCTCCAGACTTTGCCAGTTATCTTAATTCAGACAGTCCTTACATTGAGCTCTGTATAATAAAATTACTGGAGCGTTTATCGACAGCCAATGTATAATATAATGCTATTCCTCATCTGAGGTTTTAAGACATTAGCTTCAAGGATTATATACCTTACAAAGGACGAACCCCCAGAAGAACACTTTATGGTGTAATACCTAATGGAAGAATAAATGATACGATTTGTTTTATTTTACAAAAATGATTTAGAGAATCAAAACATTGAACTCACTTGTTTTGGCACCTCATGACATTGAAACAGTAACCAGCAAAGCGGATCGAACACATCTCTCTACAGGGATTTGCTAAATTCCAGGTACACCCAATGCCTTTGAATAAATAAGGAAGGAACAAAAAAGCAAAAATTGTTCACTTGTTGGCGAAACTGTTTCTATTCACTTTCTTTTCATCTTTATCCATTTTCTGGATGTCAGGATCCTTGTTCAGCCTAAAGTTTAAAAATTATATATATAATTTTTAATATATGGCACATGGCATTTACTTCCTGGAAAAATATTCAAAAACAATAAATTATCAATGAACTGAAATCACCGTGTTTTACTTCATGGGATAAAATAATGCAAATAAAGTCTTCAGTTACTTTATTTTGGCCTTACAAACTGTTAAGAATGCTCGTATTGGTTATAAATTGAGAAATACACAGTAGAATTCAATTTATTTGAAATCAGATCTAAGGGCACATCACTCAAACTGCAGAAAAATCTATAAATAGGGTTCCTTAAAGTGATGTTAGTAAATACTCTTATGTGATTTATCACTAATTATTTTCAAACACGTTGAAATAACTTATGTGTGTTAATTCACAGATCATTAATTTGTGCCATTAAGAAACTTTTTCTGTGCATTTTAAAAATATAAATAGAAATTGATACAACCTGGAAAAATCGAGAATGTTTTGATGAAGTTTTTATCTCACGTGGAAAAACAGTCATGCCAGAAAATCTGTCTTACCCGAATTTTCCAGTCTGGTGACAACGCAATTTGAAGTCTATATTCTTCTTCCTGAAATTTCCAGAAGAATCTACACTTATATATACCCATGTCTTTCAGAGAATAAAGAAAAAAATAAAAGAATACAAAACAATTTTTGTAATGTGTTCGGTTGCATATTTATTTAAAACAGATATTACGGCACATTTAAGCAGAATCATCTGTGGTACCAAAATCTAATTTTCATATACCATTCGAGTTTTTATTTCATGCGGAAAACAGCCTTCTTCTCCTTTAAATAAACCATGAAGATATCGAATGATAAGCAAGCTCCATTGGAACAAATTCAGAAAACAAGGGCCCCAAAACACCAATGTTTAAAACATGACACGTCGCCTTGTTTACGACTGCTTACTAAATACCATTCAAATTTTATTGATACCGGTTCTTTTTATGACAACCTAATTGTATACAGTATTCTGACAATGCTCCCACAGTTTAGAACAGCATCAGACAAAAGATATTAAACAATCTAAATTTCCCAATATGATGCTTTTTAAAAGAACCTTTGTGTATGTTTGCATTATACCGGGTATTTAGAGAAAAAAACCCAGAGTATTTCGTGGCAGTTTACACCAATATTTTGATAGTCTTTTAGACCAATATTTTGATAGTCTTATAATGTTATTTTTACACGAGAATACCAATTTAAATTGGAATAATGCAAACATTTATCAAAACCTTTATTCAGATATCATAGTTCATGAAATACAATGATAACAAACAGTTCACATGATTAAACGAGCTGAGAAGGTTTGTACCTTTAGAAAAATTAGAGATGGGATCAGGTGCCAAGGGGGAGTAAGATCCCCTATACTGAAGACCTTTTCAATTACATGTACATAGATGTACAATGAATCATATGGAGAAAACGAATTGTATTCTAGATCAAAAGTCCATAAAACAATACAAAATAGGAGCAGAGAAAACACGGACCTCTGAAACATCAGGGGTGTGATCAGGTGCAATAGAGGCACTATGTGCTCCTTGTCATAATCGGGAAATAACGGAATTCATTGTATAAATAATGGAATAACAATTAATATGGAAAATATCAGTCAGCATTTGACTCAATGATAAATTGTATTTACTGACAAGGTCATTGTATCGACCATAGAACTTACGAAATGAAGACTTTCAGCGAGACTGTTAATATTCTTGTTTCATCAACTTGTTTGTGAAAAATTCGTTTTAAAAATGTCCATATGTAGAGCATGCTCTTGCGTATCGAATCAACTGAGTATGTAGCTTGGCTGTAAGATTACCATTAACGTCTTTTTCAAGTAAAATACGAAACAAATGTGTCAGACTCTGTGGTATCTTTTATCTCAAACTAACCGGGATATATAGAATCGACATAAGTCACCATTTCATAAATGTTATGGTTGATACAATGACTTTGTCGGCAAATACAATTTATCATTAAGTCGAATGGTGACTGACGATTTCCACACTAATGATAAGGCCATTATTTACATGTTGAAGTTGTAATAATGGGCAAAGTTTCATCAAATCTTGATTAGGCGTGTCAGAAAAAAATTGCCTATTAAGAATATTTCTTTTTAAATTCATTCAAGATATTTTGCTTCGATTAAATGAGAACAAAAGCACAACAAATCTCAGCCATTCCACTGAAAATACCCTTAATTCCACCATCTTTACCCCTTGTTGTGTTCTCACGGACACAGACAGATAACAAGATTAATGATTTTTTAGAGATGTGTGAATTTGGTTCAATTTTCTTATTATTAGGCACAATCAAGTAACAAAGTCAAGATCAAAGATACAATTCACTTTTCACTCTTCATAGTCAAACGATCATGGTAATGTCGCATCGTAAGCAACGTTTTAGGAATATATGATACAGGGCCAATTTTGAGAATAATCCTAATGAATACTGTGTCACAATGTTATGTCAAAACGTTCTCCTCTATCTTTCCAGTCAATTTTTATTTATATTCATTTATGTATTAGAGTAGTCTCTCTTTGATAAGTGTTTCTTAAAATCTTGACGGACTAATCACCATGCTCGAGTTTTATGGGTTGTTTGAAATAATATGTATTCCTTCTTAACGAAAACTCTAAATATCACTGGCCTTTGTGCACTTTTTCAGACTATGATTAACAGGGTTATTTCAAATTAGATTAGATTGATTTTTTTTTTCGTACATAGTTTTTTTTTTTTTTTTATTTTCTTTATTTTATTTCATTAATATTTTTCACAGTGAAAGCGCTTTTATTTTGAATAGAATATTAATAATGATTAATATGAACAATTTAGTCAGAAAGTACGGAAGCGTATTGCTGCCAGTTGAAAAAAAAATATTTTAAGTCGTACGTACGACATAGTAAGTCGTACGTACGAGATACTAAGTCGTACGTACGAGATACTAAGTCGTACGAACGAGATACTATGTCGTACGTACGACATAATAAGTCGTACGTACGACATAATAAGTCGTACGTACGACATAATAAGTCGTACGTACGACATAATAAGTCGTACGAACGACATAATAAGTCGTACGTACGACATAATATTAAGTCGTACGTACGACATAATAAGTCGTACGTACGACATAATAAGTCGTACGTACGACATAATAAGTCGTACGTACGACATAATAAGTCGTACGAACGACATAATAAGTCGTACGTACGACATAATAAGTTGTACGAACGAGATAATAAGTCGTACGTACGAGATACTATGTCGTACGTACGACATAATAAGTCGTACGTACGACATAATAAGTCGTACGTACGAGATACTATGTCGTACGTACGACATAATAAGTCGTACGTACGACATAATAAGTCGTACGTACGACATAATAAGTCGTACGAACGAGATAATAAGTCGTACGTACGACATAATAAGTCGTACGTACGACATAATAAGTTGTACGAACGAGATACTAAGTCGTACGTACGACATAATAAGTCGTACGTACGAGATACTAAGTCGTACGTACGACATAATAAGTCGTAAGAACGAGATACTAAGTCGTACGTACGACATAATGATTTATCTATAATTCATGAAGCATCGATAAAGTATGGACGGTGTAAAAACTGTCGACGCGCTTGTGAAGAAATATTTTTTGTTAGGATTTAACCACAACGAAATATTACAGTGTCTAGTTTCGAACAATGGAATTGTTATAAGCATCAGAAGCTTGAGACGACTCTTGGCTAAAATGAAGCTCTTTCGCCGCAAGCATTATTCAGATATTTTTGATGTGGCTATGTTTGTAATGGAACAGATTGAAGGATCGGGTCAGTTATATGGATATAAACTATTACATTTAAAATGCATCAAGAATGGTTTTGTTGTTAACCAGGAAACTATAAGATTCTTGCTTCAAATAGTTGACCAAGATGGCGTTGAAACAAGACAGAGAAACAGGTTGCAAAGGAGAAACTACTTTGGCTGTGGTCCGGATTTTACATGGCACGTAGATTCGTACGATAAATTAAAGCCATATGGATTCTGCATAAACGGTTGCATAGATGGGTTCTCACGAAAAATTATATGGCTGGAAGTTTACACTTCAAATAATAATCCTAATTTGATCGCCAGTTATTATGTGAACGCAGTAAAATGTCGACAAGGCTGCCCCAAAAGGTTACGATTAGATCGTGGAACGGAAAACAGTTCAATTGCTCAAATGGAAATGTTCTTTAGATACGAAGATGATGATGACGACCTTACCAACTGTGTCATATTTGGATCAAGCAACCATAATCAAAGGATTGAATCATGGTGGGGGTATTTTCGGAAGCATTGTGGCCAATATTGGATGAACACCTTCCAAAAACTTCGTGATGAAGGAAATTTTACCTGTGACTTTGTAGACAAAAGTATTCTTCAATTTTGTTTTATGCAAACAATTCAGGTATGTAAATAGGTTTTAAATGTATTTACTGTGGAATCTGAATAGGTCCTTGCAGTTCACCATCGCACCATCGAGCATAGACTTCATTAGGGTTGATGACGATATCGATGAAGCGATCGTGCGACAATGCAATGACAAAGGTGCGATAGCACGATGAAGCGATAGTAAATCACTTCGTCGTCACCATACTATAGCGTCATCGTAATCGCACAATCACTATAGCCCTATCGTACTATCGCACCATCGTCATCGCATTGTCGCGCCATCGCATCATCGTCATCACGCTATCACTTCATCGTTATCACACCATCGCTTCATTATCATCGCATTATTGCATCATCGCACTATCGACCTTAACCTTGTTAGTGTGATAATGCAATTGTTAATTACATTGCTATTTCCTGATTCCATTGTATAGTAATAAAGTTTTATTTAAAGAAACCAATTACAATATATATTTATGCTTATTGATTTCTTAAATATGTGAGTGATACATGCACGGTTAACCGGCCAATCGGTAGCAACAGGGTGTGATTAACCGTTTAGTAATCGTGCAATCATGCAATATTAAGATTGAATACTGTTTGATATCTCCATATCCTTCTATATACTAGTCTAGTTTTCTATACTCAGTGTATATTTCAGGACGAAATTAATGAAGTAGTAGAAATCTGGAACACCCATCGTATACGCCCATATAGAATTCAAATAAGCCCAAGTGGACGTCCAAACATTATGTACAATCTTCCACATTTATATGGAGCACAAAGCCATTTATGCAGAGTTACAGAGGAGCAGATAGCTGTTTGCGAGAGTGAATGCACTCCAAAAACCGATTTTCCATGTGATGAAACAGTATTTGAGTTGTGTTGTTTTCTTATGGAAGAAGCCGGTTATGACACGCATGTACCACAAGACACAAATGAAAAAGAACAGTTATACATTTTTCTACGAGATGCAGTACGACTCCAGCTACGGTTATAGAATCACATACATCCGCCAGATTACATGAATCGCATCTTTTCTTCAGTTTTTTTGTTTTGTAAATTTGTTCAACATATGTAATAAAAGAGATTAATGAAATTTGCAATCAAAAACATTTATAAATTAATTGTTCGAAAAATTAGCCTAAAATGAAACGAAGTTGTCATTGAAATAAAAGTTGATATCAGATTTTCTACTGTAAAGTAATGGTTTTATATTTAAATGATAAAATGCTTTGTAATATGTTTGTTAGTATAGGTATTATTTTCACAGCTGTTGCATAGAAAAATCAAAGAAATACATTTTATTGTTTACATTTACATCTTTATAAAACGAATTCAAAGTAAAATTAAATTAGTTAAATATTGTATTATAGATGAATGAATCATTGTATGCATAACTGATGGAAAAAGTCTTCATGAAATTACGCATATGGCTTGCTAAGTGTGGTTTATGCACTGATTAAGCTCACTTTTAAATGACACACTCGCCTCCCATGTGGTTATAATGACAAAGTCCATGTTCTGCTCTGTGAGTCCCGAAATAAGTGTCAGGTCAAAAAGTAAAATGGATGTATGGCATATGCATAGGCGTCGGAAGCAAATCGAAAGTGGAGGGGCTAATTGAAAGTTGGGGGTTGGGCCTTAAAAGGAGCTCTTTATTTTTTAACTTATAAATTATTTTTGCCTTGATACTACATGTATTTGAAAGTATTACTTTTATATCTGTTTGTTATAGTGTTCTGCAGATTTCGTGCATTTCACTCGGTCCAGTTACCAGTAATCAAAATATATATCAAAAGAATTTGATGCGTTTGCAATACAATTCAAACAAACAGAATTACAAATAGAAAGGATACTAGTGCAAGCAATAGCGTATGTCGCCCAAACGCTCCCCAACTCCCTTTTGGTGCCAATTCCCTGTAAGCTTCATTAAATAATTTTTGCTTTTAACAACGTTTTCCCAAAAGGATACCAGTTATATTCAAATTTTTGCATTGCACCCCAGCGCATGTGAATGCATGTGAGTTATGAGCATATCATTTGTCTACACTATCTATATATTTTAATATACTATATATTAAAGCATTCCGTCAAAAGTAATAAAAATCACTCATTCAAGTGTATTTTTAATTTGAACTCGTTCTAAATGCACGCACGTGCGTTTGATTATTCTTGTAGGAGTCCCTTACATCGATCTATGTTCTAAATCCCATGTTCGGTAGAAAAACAAGGGAGTTATAGCCATTTCAAGTTTCAAGCACACATGCATGTGCGTGATTTCATGATTTTTTTCTATAAAATATTTAGGTTATCCTAATGCATGACTATATTTTAAATTTCAAAGAATTTCGTCAAAAACAAAGGATATATAGCCATTTAAAGTTTCAGCCAATCAGATTGCAGCACGCGCACATGCGCAAGCTTTTATGAAAATTCTTTTAATCAAGATCTTCATAATGTATATGTTCAAAATTTCAAAGGATTTGATATTGAGACTTTAATACAGCCAATCAAACCATGCTATCTTGTCTATACAGAAATACAAATTATGAGTTTCAAAAAATTTCATCAAAAAATAGAAAAGTTACGGCAATATCCATTATATTGGTCATTTCACGTGTTGCACGTGCACGCTCTTGCAAGCACGTGCGCGCAAAATGACCTTGATTCCGCAAATCTACATAACATGTCTACTGACCCTAAAAAGGTTTTACCTACATCGGACGAAAAGTTTACAAGATCACTCCCGGACAAAAAAGTACCCAGGAAGAAGATATATAATATATAATAATAATATATATATATATATATATATATATATATATATATATATAATATAAATATAAAGTATATATATATATATATAGCGTATGTCGCCCCGAACTTGACAATTAAGACTTTCATTTCATCACTAAAAAAAATACCCATTAGATTTGACATCTATGAGGTGCCATTTTGGTATTTACTGGCAAAAAGTGATATCACCTATTTGAATAGGTGATTTCACCTATTCATTTTCAATAGGTAATATCACCTTTTCCTTTCCACTAGGTGATATCACTTATTCGAATAGGTAATATCACCTTTTCGAATAGGTGATATCACCTATTGGAAAGGAAAAGGTGATACATGTATCACCTATTCGAATAAGTGATATCACCTCTTCGAATAGGTGATATCACCTATTCAGTTTGAATTGGGGATATCACCAATTCGAAAAATGACATCACCTATTTGAATTTCTTACAAAATTAAATAATGAATGCCCCCTATAATACATACAGTTTACCACTGGAACCAAGAAAGTTCGGACTATTCGAATAGGTGATATCACTTTTTTGCAGTAAATACCAAAACGGCAGCCCATAGATAACCATCAACTCGTATCAGTCTTTTTGGTAATTTGATTTAAAAATCAAAGAATTTTTACTTTTTCCCTGATTCCATGGCAACTATTGACAATTTGCAATTTTTAAATGCAATGCGCACAATTACAGATACTAATCATTAAATCAATAAAAATTCATGACGAATGTCCAACGGACCAAAGAGAACACTCGCGGGCAAAATTCGTCGCTTTTGGCAGGTTTCCACGGCAACGGTAGCCATTTCGAAACTGAATGACCACACAACACAGCTGGTAACCGTCCTTTGAGGAAGATTGTCCCAGCCATCTCGCAGAAACAGCCCGTAGAACAAAAACATGCGTTCAATCGCAATATTTCGCCCCCGACTTCGTTCGGGGCGACATAAAAAGGGGTAATCTTTTACCGTGCTTGAAATTATTTGCCTATAAAATAGCATACACACTCTAGAGTAGGCAAAATACTAAAAATATTCTTACACATATATATACAAAAACAGTATTTTGTCGATATGTCAAAAGGATTAAATATGTAAAGCATGAAAGCACTAGCCCTAACCTTTTAAAATTGTACGGTCAATGTTTGCATTTTCAAAGCAGGTCAAACTCTAAGGTCAAGGTAAGAAGGTCAAATTTAGTGGTACCAAAAGGTCTTTTTTTTAAGGAATACACATGTGAAATATGAAACTCATAGCTCCATTAAATCAAAAGTTATGGGCAAGATTAAAATTTTTGCGGACAGACAGACGGACGGACACGTACTACATACCCCCGAAACTTCTTTTACGGGGCATGAAAATGCAATATCATATTTCTGTCGAGGTTTATATTTATGCTGAATATCTTTTTTAAATGATAAAAGTTCGTATGGGTATAGGTTTACATTCAATATTTTTTGTTGTAGCCTGGTTCGAATCACTAGATGACCCATGTTACCTTTATAAAACAAGAGTGCCATGGACCACAATGCTCACCTGAGTAACTTTAGCCCTGCTCTTCTTCATTAGCTTCCCCTGTAAAACTTATTGTTGTGGCCCCATCCAACCCCCAAGGCTATGATTTGAACAATTTAGTATCTCAATGAGTCAGATCACTAAAGTACTGGGATACCCACCAGTAAGTCTTATCTCAGTAGTATCTCAATGTGTCAGATCACTAAAGTACTGGGATACCCACCAGTCAGTATCTCAATGTGTCAGATCACTAAAGTACTGGGATACCCACCAGTCAGTCTTATCTCAGTAGTATCTCAATGTGTCAGATCACTAAAGTACTGGGATACCCACCAGTCAGTCTTATCTCAGTAGTATCTCAATGTGTCAGATCACTAAAGTACTGGGATACCCATTCAGTCTCATCTCAGTAGTATCTCAATGTGTCAGATCACTAAAGTACTGGGATACCCACCAGTCAGTGGGATACCCACCAGTCAGTCTTATCTCAGTAGTATCTCAATGTGTCAGATCACTAAAGTACTGGGATACCCACCAGTCTTTATTCATAAAAATTTTATCTCTGATGGTTATGAAATAGATTTTTTAATAACCCATCATATTTTGGCATTTTCTTTATTATCTCCCCTTGCAAGGGGACTTCATCCTTAATTTTTCCAAGTTTAACTCCACTTTACCCAAGGATACCTTATACCAAGTATGCTTAAAATTGGGAAAAGGGTTCTTGATAAGAAGTTGAAAATGTACATGAAAAGTTTACAGACAGACGGACGGACATCTAGACAGACAGATGGACAATGGGTGAACAGAAAAGCTCACTTGAGCTTTCAGCTCGGTTGCGCTAAAAAGTGAAGAAATGGCAAAGCAAATATAACACTTGCATTTATTCATAGTTCTTTGACTATATAGTGACAAATATGAAATTTAAAGAAAATATCTTTATGATAAACAAAAAACAAAAAAAAAAATTAGTCATGCCACTTCTCAAACATAAGCAAAAATTTAATGACTTGTCTTGTCATACACTTAAACAAATAGTTTTCAATGGTAAAAAATAATAACTGTTTTTTTTTTTTAAGGAAGCTCTAAACACTCTATTTGTATGGCACATCTGTAGTTTTATGCCCTCAGAGTGATCTACTCCTAGAAATAGCTTTAAATAAATCATTTACAGTTTATTACTTAATTTATATAAAAATAATAAAAATATTCTGAACATTTGACCAAGAATAAGTTATTAAATACATTATTTCCACCAAATTACCAAATGCAAGTAAATAACATTGATTTCTGTTCACAAATAGTCAATTGTCTTAAAACATTGGACAGGACGTACCTATGTTGAAAATGAAGTAAATAGAGTCAATATGCAAATCTTGATCTTAAACATTTTCCTAAAAGTCCCACAAACACGTTTTGATAGTTTTTATTAGAGCTTCCTTACGCTTTTATGAGACGGACTGAAATAACAAAGGTTACAATAATAAAAAACAAATCATACGATATAAAGTGTATGTCTAAATTCCCCATTTATCAATATCAGATTCTAATAAAAGTGCAATTGAAGCAGAAATTCTTTAACTTTTTATAACCTGAAAAATATCAATAAAATTTTCATGATGACATGCATTAACATCTAATAGATTTATTATTTTATAAGATTTATTAATAAATGCAGACTTCAGGAAATTCGCAGAACAGCACTTTTTTGGCAATATCATTGTAGGAAAATTAAGTGTCTTTTTGAGAGTATCTTATATTAAATTCAAAATATTCAAA